CCTCTTGTCCTATTGCTTGGAGCCACTGAGAAGAGCCTGGCTTCCTTCTCCTGGCACCTTCCCTTCAGATATTTATAGACATTAAAGAGATCCCCTCTCAGTCATCAATCCTCGATGCTGAATAGGCCCAGCTCCCTCAGCATTTCCTCATAAGAGAGGTGTTCCAATCAACTGTGTTGTCTTCTGCTGGATCTACTCCAGGAGCTCCGTATAAGATATGGCATTTAAACAGAACAAACTTATGTGCAAAGTTATATACAGTACAGAGTATACAAATCTGACTGTTTCTGAGCAATTTTATTTTTTAATCCTGTGAAGCAGTATGGCATTCAATTTATTGGTGGGAAAATACCACTTTGTTTCAGGTGAAAAGCAGGATAAATCATGGATTTGAGATGCTGTCTATTGACTGAGGATATCTGTTGGTGCAGGATTTTGTATTCACTGGACCTCACAGCCAGAACCAAAAGGGCAAGTGCTGGAGCAGTGCACCCAACAGCATCTGCTGCGGTTGCCTGGGGTAAAGCTTTCCCTTGTTTCCCTGTATTCTCAGGAGAAGGGGGATTTCAGTCATTTCATGGCAGACCAGGACCATATGCTTGATGAAGAGTCAGAACAATATTCACCAGTCTTTCCTCAACACCCTACAAACAAGTGTTGTTTCTAGACAACCTGGAAAACAGAATGCTACATGAGCTGCAGTGTCCAGGCAACTACTTGGTCTTCTATGTATTTTCCATAGATGCACAGCTTCCCTGAAACAGCACTGGTGACCCAGACACAGTCTCCAGCTCCTTGGAGCTGAAGGACACATGGGACTGTTCCACCCTGCCCTCCCACAGGAGGTGCATGTCCCCAGCCTTCACCCTGCTGCCTTCCCTACATGGAACCTGCAGCCATCCTTGTCCCTGTCCTTACCTCAAAACCATAGCTCCCCTCACTGTCTCTCCTCCCATACCATGGCAACATCTCAGGGCAACATGGACAGTATGACTGCCAGGACAAACCCAAACCTTCTTTTACAAAGAGCTGATGCACTGGTATCTTGCACAGATGCTGCTCTCATTTCCATCAGTGGGCTCTTCTGAACAGCCTGATCTGACCTAGATCTTACCACAGAGACTACATTCCTAAACCTCAGTGTGCTCTGGCACCCATGGGCACCCATTTTTTCTTCAATCTCCAGGCCTTGCAATCCTCCTGTTAGCAGCTGGGCATGGGCAGAAAGCCATGAAGAGCCAAAACTTGGCTTCCAGGAGCACTCCAGTCATATTAGCTTTTCAGCAACCAGATACACTGCAGAAGGATTAGGACATGCTCAGGTCCAGGTAATAGGAAGCTGAGCCAGGGAGAGACTCTCCATGGAAAGAGCTGCTTTTTTGCCTTGAGAACTTTACAGGTTGTAGAAGAGTTTTGGTTCATAGAATGTCATGCACTGATGCTGCATCATAGCAGGAGGCCAGAGGAGACTGAACAAGGACAGAAGCACTGCAATGGAACAAAGATGATGTGGCTTTATGGATAAGGCTGCTTTCTTTCAGTGAGATTTCTGATGTGTCTGAAGTTGCTCTGGGAAACAGCATGTTTTCTGACTAGGGATAATGTTGTTTTTTGCTCAGATCCCTCTGCATCCTGTTCTAAACAGAACCCCTACATGTGAGCCCTGGGCTTCAGACAGTATGTATATAACAAATGAGCAAGAAGTCAAACTCCAGAGAGTTTGTGTTTATTTTGTGTGCATTGCTGGAACTGTCTTTGTAATGTGACACATGCGTTAGCAATCCACTAAGAATGGTGGGGGTTTAGGACACTGTTAAAAAAATGTACTTACAAACTGATCAATAAAAGGTGTACTCTGAAAATACTGTTCTCTAAAAGGTTCTCTAAAGGTCTCTAAATACTCCTATTTCAGATAATGCTGAAGCATGCCATTTTTTTCCACACTAAGGCACTATTAGTTGTGATCTCATCTAAAGTTTCCTTTAGCACATCCACTACACCAAAAGTTTCAGCACATTTCCAATCAAAATATTGTCCATTGCTAAATAAACACCACAGTATTCTGAAGAGAGAAGTGACAGAAGTGAAGAGATACAAGGGACTTGAGTGTAAATTCCCCTAATTTTATTTTTAATTAAAAACGGCAGAGATACTTTCCAGGTCCAGATTGAAAAGGAATTAGATGTCTAACTTTTCTCGGTTTGTATGACTAATGTTTCAGGCACTCAATAGAAACTGTATGAATGCTGAGAATTAAATATAAATATATTAATGTCTACACACATTAGGCATACTTTTGATGTGAATCGATTCACTAAATTGAGCACATGGAACTTACGTGGTTCGTTCTGGAAGCAGACTTTTTTCCACACTGAAGAATGTGAAAACTACTTATCAGATACGATTCAGTACATCTGTGTGTGATTACATAAACATGTCTCAGACCACAGAGCAGCACAGCCAGGTCTCGTAGCAGTTACATTCATTAAACTTTGTCAGACCATGTGATCTCCCCTGGACCTTTGATATTTGCCTGTTTCTAAGATTTACTGAATATTCCCTATATTTTCTTATTTAGAGTAAGAGTAGTTCACTGAGAATTAATCACAATACCCTTGAATAAATGATAAGTCACTGTTTCAGGGCTAAGCAAGCATGCCTGAAGTCACTAACAGAAAACACAAGAACTGGAAAAACAGTGCTGCTTTAACTTCCTCTGTTCACAGAAAGTGGACTTAGAATTACTTTTCTTTAAAATATATGTCATAATTTTACCTCATATTATTCCACCTCATACTCAAATCAGCCTTTCCTTGCTGTTTTCTTGCTGTTTCCTTGCTGTTTTCCTTCAAGAGTCAGTAGCTAGAGTTACTAAGGTCCTAACCAGCAATTTCTGAGTAACCTTAAGGTTGCAAAAAAATGGCAATTTCCAATTTGCAAATGCAAAAGCTCTTACCATCAAGCATCTGTATACCTGCACTGAAGAACTCCTGCGTGCTTGAGGTTGTAGGTCTCACCACAGAGATGTAAGTCCTGTCAGATCACCCTTTGTCTGAAGTTTTGATGGCTAAATTATTCTTGATCCTTACAGTGAGGTATCTGGGCAACTTGGCTGAGATCCTGTTTTAAAAAGATTTCATTTCAATGAAATCTGATTTATAATGAAGCTGCATAAGCAGTATTTCCATAGCACTGGAGGAATCATTTTTGCATTCTGAAGACCTGCTCTCTTATCAGTGGTTCATGTTTTTCATCTCATTTCTACCACCAGGGGAGCACACTGTTTCAACACTGTTTCAAGCCTGCAGTTGTCCAATCTGGATGTAGACTGTGCCTAGACAAGAAACTATTAAACCCTGTCACCTTACTTAGTGTATGGATGCTAACCAGGTATTAGAACTTGTAACAGAACATTCTTCTTGGTCACTTCTTGCAAATACTTGGTAGCTTGTTTTGAATAACTGGAAGATAAAATCAAGCATTTTCTGAAGTTAATGGCCTGATGAATACTCAACAAGGCTTTTCAGCACGTTGAAGTGTGGTCTCAGTGCTAAATTACAGTGCTGAGCACAAAAACAAGGTCTGGTGTAGTGTGGGGTCAATCAAAAGAAAAGCTTCCTAAAGGCAAAGAGCTCTTCCACAGCATGGCAGCAAAAGATTTGCTCATATCGATGCCAAAAACCTTTATAATAACAATACCTGTGATGAAGCAGATATTGTCAGGAGCTACAGAAAGCAGTGTCATCGCTGTGTTGATGGTACACAGACAAAGATCTGACTTAAGGAGAACTGTCTCTGCTGCTTTCTGGTTCTTGGGAAACACGAGTACTTTAATTGGGCTTGGTGTTTCATTATCGGCTTTTGTGCTGCTGGAGGCATTGATGGCTCGTGTAGCCGCAGGTACTCTGCCTAGAAACCTCTCTACAGGGGTTAGAAACGCTTAGCCATTTCAGCCACTGAGCGCTAAGTGCTGTGCAACATGCTGTCTTTTCACTTGATGCATGTACGTGCAAAAGTGGCCTCTAGATGCTCCTGCACTCCAAAGAAATCAGAATGTTTCACAGTAGAAACTGATGGAGGGTGGGGAAGAAGTAACTTGAACCTGGTTTTGTATATTAAAATATAAAAAAGTGTTAAAAACCCCCCCGCACCATTAAAAAACTCTTCTAAATCTGGAACACTGTCTGTTGCACAACCCTCTCCGATTCCATCGTTAAGGGTTTGGTGGACCTGCACATTGACTACTCCTAAACGTTCCTTGCCGATATCGGTAAGGGATCCGAAACTTTCGTAGGACGAGAAATGCGGCTGCTCCAGAAACACCTGCATACCACTGCCACGCAGCCTCTCCCCGCAGCCCCAGGGCCCCTTCCCGAGGCAGCCTCCGCGACTGCCCAGCGCCTGCCGCGGAGAGTGGGCGGAGAGCGGGGACTCCTCCGCTCCTCCCGGCGCTGATCCCCCCGCCCGCGGCGCCGGGGGCGGCCTGCGGAGCGGGAGCGGGGCTCGGTGGGGCGGAGCGGGCACACCTGGGCCCCCGCCCGGCGAGGGAGCGCGGGCGGAGCGGGGGCGGAGGGAGCCCGTCCCGTCCCGTCCCGCTCTGTCCCTCCCCGTCCCACCCCTCACCCCTCCCTCCTTCCCTCCCTCCCTCCGTCCGCCCGTCCGTGCGCGCCGGCGGCGGCGGCGCCGCGCTCCCCGCACCGCGCACTCCCTCCCGCAGGTAAGCGCAGCGCGGCGCGGAGGGGCGGAGCGGGGCGGGGGGTCCACCGTCCCCGCCCGCGAAGAGGTGCCCGCTCCCCATTCCCCGAGGGCTCCGCGCCCACGGATCTTTCCCCCCCACCCCGCCCCCGCTTTGAGATTTTTTTTTCCCCTTTCGTGTTCTTGAGCCCCGTCCGACTCCTGTGGCGCGCAGCGGTGCGCGGGACGGCGCGCCTTGGCGGCGGCTCCTCCGGCGAAGAGGTCCTTCGGGATGGGCTCGAGTGGGCTGCTGGCGTCGGGTCAGGCTGCTGTTCCTGCTGGACTAACGCTTCTAGGGTTTGCCTGGACTAAGTGATGAGCACTTGTTTGATTAAGGGACACTAACAGTAGAGTCTGTCCTGATTTATTCCCCTTCCCCTCCCCCTTCCTCTGTGAAGTCTCTTTGGATTGATTTATACCGATTAAGGCAGTGGAAAAAGTCCTTGTTAAAAAATGGTTGCCACCTCTCTCTCCTGACTTCCTCAGTCCTTCGGACGACGAGCCAGCTAAAGTCCGATGGGAGCAGTGTTGGTGTGTCCATGGTGTTTACAAAGGTAAAGGACAGGGAGAAGATGAATGACAAGCAGAAGGTTATGGAGCATTAAAGACCGGGAGGGTGGGGAGCAGGAGGGAAGCTAGAGGACAAAAGCCGTTAGCGAACTGAAGTGAGAAGACGGAGGTGGAACCAGAGGGACCAAGTTTCTTCCTCTAGCTTCTTTCTCTGTGTTCTTTTTAAATAGCTCCACAGCGGGAACCATCTCAAGAAACTACTTCCTACAGAAATATATGAAAAGTTTTTGTTATCAGAAAAATGTTAGAATGTCTAAATTTTATTTTCTTGTGGATTCCTCTGTGGAACAAGCTCACACCTTCATGATTTCAGTTGTCTATGAATAAGTTAAAAGCTGCTCAAATCTCTCCTTTCTTCTTTTGTTTTCTCCCCATCCTTATTTGCTGTAGGTTTGGGTTGGTTTTTTGGTTGTTTTTTTGGCTGGTGGGGGTTTGTGGATTTGGGTTTTTTTTGGAGTGGGGAGGTTTCTGTTGGTTTGTTGGTTGTTGTTTTTTTTTTTAATTCAAGTTTCAAGATAGGATAACCTGGGGGAGCCTCTGTAGGCAACTTGTGTTCCCAAACTATGGGGAAATCGAGGTAGCTGCATCCTTTTACTACTAAAAACTACTGCAACTCATATTTTCAAAGAAAGTCTTTTTCGTGCTAAGTCAGGTTTGGTGTGTGTACCATTTGGTCTAAAAGGAATCAATCTCAGGTCTGAGAGTTATGTTTCAGTTTGACAGCCAGGGCTGTGTGCCATGCAGCCTGTTACTCTTGTGCAAGGATGGGGTATACTATAGCACTTAAAAAAATATTTCTGGTAATTTCAGCAGTGAGCTGAAGTGATACTCTGTGAGCACAGACATAAGTGAAGCTCTGCCCCGCAGCTCACTGTTACTGGCTATAGGCGTGCTGCATGTTTCTCCTTAACTGATATGTGCTCCAACTTACAAAGTAACTTGATAGGCCTGTGTTTTACTGTTTTTTTTTATTAAATATTAACACACAAAATCAAATGCTGTCTTGCACCAAAATAGACTGACACTGTCTCATCCTATGCAGTTGTACATGAACTGTGGTTGTCTTCCCTTTTGTGTGCAAATAACCAGGGAGTAATTTAGAGATATTGAGAAGCACTGTTTTGTGATCAGTGTGGTGTTGTCCTTATCACTCCTTAATACAGATTGCACTAGTTAGACCTTTGGCTGCTGGATCTGCTTGTTCTGAGAACTTAGTAGGAACAGTGCTGGTTGGAGAGAGGAAAACACTGGCTGGAGTCTGCTTTCTCTTCCTTCAGTCTTCAAAACAAATATTGAGGGTAGAAAGGTTAAAAAGCTTTTGAGACAAAACACATGGAAAATGCAAAATTAAAGTAATGCTACACTGTGTACGCCCCTTTAATATATGAACTCCACATGTGAGTAACAGACAATCCTATCACTGTGTACAAAAACACTTATGGTTTTTGTCAGTAATTCTGTAAGATTGAAACTAAAATATAATTCTGTTGCGGTAACTCTGCTACACCCCCCCAAAACTGCAACATAATTCCTTCTCTGCTTAAAAATGGAGAAAATAATCTGTCTATAACTTGGTCTTGTAGTGTCACACAGTGAAACTATGTGGGGAATCCAAGAAAGGTTTGAGAGTTGAAGAAAGTGCTTTGCTCTGGAGCAGAAACTTAGGAAGTATTTAAATGGGATTCACTTTTACATCACTGTGACGAACCCTTAATAACACCTTAATGAATAGTTTGTGCTTTCTCAGTAGCCTCTCCATAAGGAGCTTGGTTTTTCTGATATTCAGAGGTTTAAATCAAAAGTTAAGTGTTTCTTCTGAGCAGCTTATTCCTTTGCGAGAGTACCACCATATTCTCTTTGAGTACCCAGCAGTTTGAGCACTGGCTCTCGGAGGTGAGCTGCATTCCTCCAGATGTCAGAAGAGCTGGCTTTGAGCACCTCTATGTGGTGACCTGCCAGCACTTGCTGAGCACTCTTGCTGTGCCATTTGGTGTGTATCTGGCTTTTTTATCATATGGATGTAGGTGAAAACTGAGTGCAGCTCTTTTGCCATCAGGCTGGATGGGGAACTCTCTCACAGCCGTCACTCATGGTCTTGGTGATGTCCAAGGACATGTGGAAGAATTTGACTGTGGGGAGAGGTTGCACTGTGAGGCAGTTGCCCTCTCCACTATCACTTTTCTCCCAAAATTGAAATTTGCTACATTTAGTGGGATTTCCTCCCTTTCAGAAAGAAAAGTGCATACAATTAAAGGGACACTTAAATTCAGTTTAAATTCGGTTTAAATCGTCTAAATAGTGTATTTGAACAGCAGCTGCTAAAAGTAATGCTAGGGGAAAGATGTATATATTTGTTTTACTGAAAAGAGGATAGAGCAGTCAATAGTTGATCCCTTCAGCATCTTCAGTTTGTGGAGTAGTTCTTTATATGTTCTGTATTTTGCTGCTTCATCTTTCACAATGGGTTTTATTAATTTTTTTATCAGTTTAGTAGTGGGGAAAAAAGGAAACAAACTTTCAAGAATGTAAACAGTGTGGTTGTAAAAAAAAATAAGCAAAAATGAAGGCATTATGAAAACACTCTTTTTTCTTTCTTTTATTTTTTTTCTTTTCCATCATCCTGTGTCCCCCCCTTAGGAAAGGTCCTCATTTGTGGCCTTAGGATTTTTTATAATTTGAAAGAAGAACACTGGTCTACAAGAAATACTTGATCATGAGAGACTTGAGCCAGCAGTGGCTTAAACTGGCAGTGGTTATGTAGCATCCAGTGTGTGTTTTTTGCTTTTGTTTTTCCATGTGTTGCAAGGTGTTACTGTAGAAATGGGGCAGTCCTCAGTAGTGCAGCATTAGGGCTGAACTTACATGTTTTATGTTTTCCTCTCAGGGGCTTTTCTTCTTAACTAACAAAGAAACTTAAGGTTTCATCCATGACCTATAGATGTCAATAGTAAAATCTGTATTGTCACTGAACAACTTTGAATCAGGTGCAAGGCCGATGTATTGTTTTTACAGAAGTACAAAATTATTTCCAGAGCAGAGGAAAGCTCTATCAAAGGAATAAGAGCTGCTGTTCTGCTTACATTTCAGGGAATTTAAGTTTGGTTTTTCTTCATTTGTATTTCAAGCTTAGTTCCTTTAAAACAAGTAGAAGCATTGCCTGTATGTTCTTGCACCTTCATTGATGTGCTGAAACAAATGACAGTGAACATCTGAACATCTAGTGCCTTGTTTTGATTTTTATTGAAGATAAATGAGATTTCTGATAAGTACCTGTGTTTGTGCATCCAAACTTTTCCTTCTCTCATTCATTGTTTCTTGGCTGCCTGACACTGTTCCCATACTCTCAGGCTGATTAACAGTCCACTTGGCTTGCAAAATCTTGGTCATTGTTTGGCTGAAGGTTGCACTTTAGGATCAGATTTCATTTTTTAATGGCTAGTATGTCTTGCTCTTGAAAATATAGTTTCTATTTGTACAACATTGAGCACCAGTAAGGAAAAGAGCTTGTGTGCTGGTTCGGATAGTATATGTGTGTCCCGATCCCACATGGCAACTCCATGATCATTGTGTTTCTCTAAGAAGCTTTTGATGGAAACCTTTTGAGGTGGTAAAGGCATTATATTTCTATACAGAGAAGCAGTAACTTTGCTTGGATCAGTGCAAAGTATCCAGAATTTCGTGACAGGGACAGCCTGAGGGAATTTGTTAAACGTGTTTTTCTCAGTTCTGTATCTACTTCCTACTTGATCTGTCTCCTTCTTGACCCAGATCTTGTAGGCAGTTATGTTAGTGCACATAGGGAGGGGAGCACTGGTGCATTTACCCGAGGGCAAAGAAGCATTTCTTCTTAAAAAGAAAGCAAATCTTCCCCCTCTGTTTCTGACAGACGAAAACAGCCACAGACTTATGTGGCTGCTGTGGTTCAGGGAGTGTGGGTAAGGCATGCCTACCCTTGCCAGAAGCACAGCTGGAGAGGGGGAACCACATCCCTCTTCCTCAAGCTACTCTGAAGATAAATAGCCTGGACAGGGTCCTGAGCTGGGATGTGTGGAGAGTGCTCTGCTTTCCAAATGGCTTGAAGATGGGTACTGGTGCACTTTGGGGTGGATTATGACCTGGCTGTTGTTCCTGCTGGGGAAATGGGAGGAAAGTGTTGTGCCTTGCTCTTTCCCACTCACATATTGCAGTGTGGTCTCTGCCAAGATGATGGTAAATAGCATGGATCACTGGCATGAGAAATGCCTTCAGCTGCAAAAGTGGGAAGGCTGGATCCCTTTTAGAAGGAAATGTATTTTGGGAACACCGGTACTCCATTGTTGACAACTGTATATAAACTTTTGTACCAACTGCATTATCTTTATTTTAGATTGTTGTAATTTGAGAGGTTGGAACTGCTTTGTTTTTTTTGAGGGTTTTTTTTTGGCTTCTATGTGGCATACTCTAGATAAAATTTAGACGTGCTTTCCCTTTATCTTTAAAATTACAAATGTGCCAAGTATGCAAGTCTAATATTATCTTTCTGCTTTTGCTTCTGATTGTGACTATGAACACCTTCTGAAGAGGATTGTTGAAGCTACTGGAGAAAATGCCAGTGAGTTTAATAGTCGTATATGATGAATTTCAGTTGTGCGTAAGCCTCATGCTGTTGTATTACAGACCACTTAGCCTTTTTTGTAGGAATTTACATGCCACAGTGACCTTCTGAATAGGGTGAATTTCAGAGGCACTCTATGCAGTATATCGTTTCTTGTCTTCAGCGAGAAAATGTATTGCATACTGCAGTGCTTGCAGGAGCAAGCAGAGAAACATTGGATTGACATCAAAGGCAAGATCTTTCTGCACTAAATGCTGAAGATTCTGAGTGGTAAAAATCTGGCAAAGGAAATGCGTGCTGTTTTTCATTGTAAGCCCCTTTTCCCTCCTTCCCTCCCTTTTTTAAGGATGTGTACGTCAAATATGAAATGGTGCCACTACATTACTTATG